TGTCTCAAGAAAGTTCTGAAAATTATTCTTTTGCAAATTGTCAAAAGTTTTATGCCCACCTAAGGCTTTCTGGGTATTTTCACAATAGCTGAAAACACTTTTCTCAAGGGAATTGATCTAGCCTTAACTTAACTTGGGTACCTTGCTGTGGTGCCGAAGACCCTGTTTATTTTTTGCCAAGTGCATGCCCAACTTTTCAGAGCTGGTTTTGCCACTGCAGGTACAATATCTGATGTTCTATTATTAAATTTTAAATTGTACCTGTGTTTACCTGCTACGTTGCTACATTCTGAGCAAAACCGACTTTAAACAGCGTAGAGACCGTTACGATGAGTCCATTAACAGCCTGCACCTAGTTATCTCTCCAAATTATTTACAAACAATTCTTCAAGGGACATCATTAACTTACGAAACTCAAATTCTGATTTATATGTTCCACTAATGAAGACAGTACAAATGTTCTCAGAAAGTTTTTCGTTTCGTATCATATGCGCAGACTTAGATGGTGGGGCTCGAACCCCTCCTGACGAACATTTGGAGGCCTCAGCTCTCCTCCCTGGGAAATAGGGAAATTTGCTATCAATTTATTAGACTATCCTTTCATAATCTTGGTTTCACGCACAAAATTTTTCCCAAGATATTTAATCAAGATCAAATATCAACGAAAATTAAAAATGTAAAAGAAAACCACCTTAGAACTTCCAGCTTGGCCTCTTTCGGCAGCCTCCATTAGCAATTGCAATTAATTTTTAGCCCCCCCCCTTCCTGGAAAAAAATAAAGCTCTGTGCTTATGTCTATGAGGACGACTTTACAATGTGAATAAAGGCCACAGAGTTTCTTTTTCGACATTTTCTGTTGATGGTGTTGTTAAAACACTTAAAAGGGGGTTGAGATAACTTGACTGATCAACTAAACACCAATTGTCAATATAGCATAATAAATACCGTAAATCCTCGAATTACCCCCCCCCCCTCTCGAAAATGCCCAGCCATCGAATAAGCCCCCACCCTAGAACTACAAATTTCCATTAAGCCCCCCCTCGAATAGGCCCCCACTGCTACCGTATATTCTCCAATTGGATCCCTCAATTTGACCGTTTTGCCATATTAGGTTGCCTATGGCGTTTTATTGAATCACCACCACAAATTCGTACGTTTGGTAGTAATTAATTAAATTCTCATAAAGAAATTCCTACTAAATTAAACAAGGTCTTTTAATACTGTCTTCTTATTGTCTACAATAATTTTATAAGCCCCCCTCGTATAGGCCCCCTCCTTCGAATAAGCTCCCGTCCAAAAATATCAAAAATAAATATGCCCCAAGGAGGCTAATTCGAGGATTTACGGTAGTGTCTTGGATATCACTTTTCTTCAACAAAATTTGGACTCCCTGTGGGCTGATTCTCGGAAAACAAATTCGCTTAGCGGATGCCTCCTTTGAACAAGCTTTCACTAGATGTCGTCGAAGTTGCCAGTTGGTTTGTTTGGTAGCTGAAAACATACGGAAAGGTAATTTTTCACTTTTTGTAGTTTATTGTACATACTAATGAGCTCTTAAACTTTTCGAAATACAAGATTCCAGTGACTTGTAGCGCATACAGTCGCAGACGAAATGATTTAGAAAGGCTTGATGAGTTTGAAGCCGGCTTTCCAAGTAATTAGGCCCAAAGATGTTCAGAGTAGATCTGTTCTTCTCCGTGTAATACCACGCAAATGATAATTTTCAGGTATAGGGCTTACGTTGTAGGCATTATAAGCTCTGAAGATCCACACGCAACCATTGTATATGGTATGTCAGACAACTCTTGAACAAGGCCCTAGACGCACTGATTTCTGACATAAAACTAATTAGGTTTGTCAAAATGGAAAATTGAGAATACTTTTTCAAGTTTGATAAATATAATCCGTTTGGAAATTCGTGCGCGCTGCTGTTTGTGTGTGAAGTTCTTGTTTTCTGTTGGGCCAATGTAAGTTGGTTTAGAACAAACAACGATTTGACTTCGGGTATAGAGCACGAAGTGATGACGTCATAAAAATTTATTTTTAGAATTTCTAAATTTTGATCCCAGAACCTAAAAGAGCATCATGAAATACCTCTAAATATGCAAAATAAATTAAAGGCATTACGAATTAGCTGAGATATGACCACTTGAGCACAGGCTCTTGCCCCATAATTCTTGCAATTCTGTAAATAGATATTTGATGACGTCACACTTTGGTACTCTATTCTGTGGCACCAGAAAAAAGCGTTAATTGCTAATTATTTCCGTTTTCCAGAGCTCGTCCTGCTCTGGGGCTGGACGACGGAACCTTTGAAGGAATTAGTGGATTTGGTTCAGTGGCAATTTAGGTAGGCGCAATGGAAAATCAGCATTTGTTTACTAACAGGCTTAATCCCTTTCTCTATGAACAATAGAGATTGTAAGTGTGTCAGAAGTTCTTCCTGAAATCTTTTTCGGTGCGTCTAGGGCCCAAAAGATGCATTCAATTTATTTTTGCTTTCCTGGCAGATTTAAAAGCTATTTCAGTACAAAATACTCTTTAAGCAAGATTATTCCATTTCCGAAAATATACCCAACCTGGTTTCCGGTGTATCAAAATCACTTAAAAACGGATACAAAGCCAAAAAGCTGCAAAGTTTGCCTTCCACACCTACAACATAACATGACTCTACTTTTTTGGAACAATTTGCCATTATCTATATAGGAATTGGTCACTTTTACACGCCATGATGCTTTGTCTAACACAACATGCAAACTTTAAGCATAAAAATTCTTCTGAAAAAGCATTTAACTTTGTTAATAAAACAAAAATGAATTTTTAAGCTAAATCAAAAGGTTATCTATAAAACATTGCAATCTTCAGATCGAATTCTCGGAATAACTATAGCAAGTATACAGTGGCGAAGCTAGAGGTCATGCAGGTCATACCAAGCATGACCAAAAATTTTTCCAGAAAACAAATTTTTAATCAATGATAAAATTTCTAGATGTTTTAAAAGATGGGATTTTATCACATTGAAAATTCTCCACAATCAAAGAAAATTGTTCTTTGCGTACTTTTATGAAACTCCGTAGGCGCAAACATAGGGTTTCTACATTTGAAACTCAATAAAGCTCAAGGGTTTCCAATTTAGTCATGCAAATATCACAGGGATCCTAATTTAGTCATGCACTTTCATTTTCTGATTATAATCTGTTTTGCCAAATTAAGAATAATGAATTTAAAAGAAATGAGGTGTAGCATGAACATTAACTAGGGGCATTAATTATTTTATTTGTAAAAATAACACTATTTGTACTTGTAAATACAATAGTTCTAAGTAAGGAATTAGGGAAGGGTCATCGAAAGTGTATTTATCTTGTCATGTATCAGAGCAAAACAATTTAGACATTTTATATAATGTTGTGGAAATCAAATCTAACTGTGTTATTTTATCTAAAAAAGTCTTCCTTCAATATCTGACAGTTTGATCAGGTGAATCAAACTGCTCTTGAAATAGTAAATATTAATAATTTGAATGTCAGAGTTTAAAAGCAAGTTAACATTGAAAACAAGATAAAATTTGAATTTCAGAATTTAAAAACATGTTTAGCACCTAAAGCCAAGGCTTCTTCAAAACATGTCTCAAGAAAGTTCTGAAAATTATTCTTTTGCAAATTGTCAAAAGTTTTATGCCCACCTAAGGCTTTTCTGGGTATTTTCACAATAGCTGAAAACACTTTTCTCAAGGGAATTGATCTAGCCTTAACTTAACTTGGGTACCTTGCTGTGGTGCCGAAGACCCTGTTTATTTTTTGCCAAGTGCATGCCCAACTTTTCAGAGCTGGTTTTGCCACTGCAGGTACAATATCTGATGTTCTATTATTAAATTTTAAATTGTACCTGTGTTTACCTGCTACGTTGCTACATTCTGAGCAAAACCGACTTTAAACAGCGTAGAGACCGTTACGATGAGTCCATTAACAGCCTGCACCTAGTTATCTCTCCAAATTATTTACAAACAATTCTTCAAGGGACATCATTAACTTACGAAACTCAAATTCTGATTTATATGTTCCACTAATGAAGACAGTACAAATGTTCAGAAAGTTTTTCGTTTCGTATCATAGGCGCAGACTTAGATGGTGGGGCTCGAACCCCTCCTGACGAACATTTGGAGGCCTCAGCCCTCCTTCCTGGGAAATAGGGAAATTGGCTATCAATTTATTAGACTATCCTTTCATAATCTTGGTTTCACGCACAAAATTTTTCCCAAGAGATTTAATCAAGATCAAATAACAACGAAAATTAAAAATGTAAAAGAAAACCACCTTAGAACTTCCAGCTAGGCCTCTTTCGGCAGCCTCCATTAGCAATTGCAATTAATTTTTAGCCCCCCCCCCTTTCTGGAAAAAATATAGCTCTGTGCTTATGTCTATGAGGACGACTTTACAATGTGAATAAAGGCCACAGAGTTTCTTTTTCGACATTTTCTGTTGATGGTGTTGTTAAAACACTTAAAAGGGGGTTGAGATAACTTGACTGATCAACTAAACACCAATTGTCAATATAGCATAATAAATACCGTAAATCCTCGAATTACCCCCCCCCCCTCTCGAAAATGCCCAGCCATCGAATAAGCCCCCACCCTAGAACTACAAATTTCCATTAAGCCCCCCCTCGAATAGGCCCCCACTGCTACCGTATATTCTCCAATTGGATCCCTCAATTTGACCGTTTTGCCATATTAGGTTGCCTATGGCGTTTTATTGAATCACCACCACAAATTCGTACGTTTGGTAGTAATTAATTAAATTCTCATAAAGAAATTCCTACTAAATTAAACAAGGTCTTTTAATACTGTCTTCTTATTGTCTACAATAATTTTATAAGCCCCCCTCGTATAGGCCCCCTCCTTCGAATAAGCTCCCGTCCAAAAATATCAAAAATAAATATGCCCCAAGGGGGCTAATTCGAGGATTTACGGTAGTGTCTTGGATATCACTTTTTCTTCAACAAAATTTGGACTCCCTGTGGGCTGATTCTCGGAAAACAAATTCGCTTAGCGGATGCCTCCTTTGAACAAGCTTTCACTAGATGTCGTCGAAGTTGCCAGTTGGTTTGTTTGGTAGCTGAAAACATACGGAAAGGTAATTTTTCACTCTTTGTAGTTTATTGTACATACTAATGAGCTCTTAAACTTTTCGAAATACAAGATTCCAGTGACTTGTAGCGCATACAGTCGAAGACGAAATGATTTAGAAAGGCTTGATGAATTTGAAGCCGGCTTTCCAAGTAATTAGGCCCAAAGATGTTCAGAGTAGATCTGTTCTTCTCCGTGTAATACCGCGCAAATGATAATTTTCAGGTATAGGGCTTACGTTGTATGCATTATAAGCTCTGAAGATCCACACGCAACCATTGTATATGGTATGTCAGACAACTCTTGAACAAGGCCCTAGACGCACTGATTTCTGACATTAAACTAATTAGGTTTGTCAAAATGGAAAATTGAGAATACTTTTTCAAGTTTGATAAAGATAATCCGCTTGGAAATTCGTGCGCGCTGCTGTTTGTGTGTGAAGTTCTTGTTTTCTGTTGGGCCAATGTAAGTTGGTTTAGAACAAACAACGATTTGACTTCGGGTATAGAGCACGAAGTGATGACGTCATAAAAATTTATTTTTAGAATTTCTAAATTTTGATCCCAGAACCTAAAAGAGCATCATGAAATACCTCTAAATATGCAAAATTAATTAAAGGTATTACGAATTAGCTGAGATATGACCACTTGAGCACAGGCTCTTGCCCCATAATTCTTGCAATTCTGTAAATAGATATTTGATGACGTCACACTTTGGTACTCTATTCTGTGGCACCAGAAAAAAGCGTTAATTGCTAATTATTTCCGTTTTCCAGAGCTCGTCCTGCTCTGGGGCTGGACGACGGAACCTTTGAAGGAATTAGTGGATTTGGTTCAGTGGCAATTTAGGTAGGCGCAATGGAAAATCAGCATTTGTTTACTAACAGGCTTAATCCCTTTCTCTATGAACAATAGAGATTGTAAGTGTGTCAGAAGTTCTTCCTGAAATCTTGTTCGGTGCGTCTAGGGCCCAAAAGATGCATTCAATTTATTTTTGCTTTCCTGGCAGATTTAAAAGCTATTTCAGTACAAAATACTCTTTAAGCAAGATTATTCCATTTCCGAAAATATACCCAACCTGGTTTCCGGTGTATCAAAATCACTTAAAAACGGATACAAAGCCAAAAAGCTGCAAAGTTTGCCTTCCACACCTACAACATAACATGACTCTACTTTTTTGGAACAATTTGCCATTATCTATATAGGAATTGGTCACTTTTACACGCCATGATGCTTTGTCTAACACAACATGCAAACTTTAAGCATAAAAATTCTTCTGAAAAAGCATTTAACTTTGTTAATAAAACAAAAATGAATTTTTAAGCTAAATCAAAAGGTTATCTATAAAACATTGCAATCTTCAGATCGAATTCTCGGAATAACTATAGCAAGTATACAGTGGCGAAGCTAGAGGTCATGCAGGTCATACCAAGCATGACCAAAAATTTTTCCAGAAAACAAATTTTTAATCAATGATAAAATTTCTAGATGTTTTAAAAGATGGGATTTTATCACATTGAAAATTCTCCACAATCAAAGAAAATTGTTCTTTGCGTACTTTTATGAAACTCCGTAGGCGCAAACATAGGGTTTCTACATTTGAAACTCAATAAAGCTCAAGGGTTTCCAATTTAGTCATGCAAATATCACAGGGATCCCAATTTAGTCATGCACTTTCATTTTCTGATTATAATCTGTTTTGCCAAATTAAGAATAATGAATTTAAAAGAAATGAGGTGTAGCATGAACATTAACTAGGGGCATTAATTATTTTATTTGTAAAAATAACACTATTTGTACTTGTAAATACAATAGTTCTAAGTAAGGAATTAGGGAAGGGTCATCGAAAGTGTATTTATCTTGTCATGTATCAGAGCAAAACAATTTAGACATGTTATATAATGTTGTGAAAATCAAATCTAACTGTGTTATTTTACCTAAATAAGCCTTCCTTCAGTATCTGACGGTTTGATCAGGTGAATCAAACTGCTCTTGAAATAGTGAATATTAATAAATTGAATGTCAGAGTTTGAAAACATGTTAACATTGAAAACAAGATAAAATTTGAATTTCAGAATTTAAGAACATGTTTAGCACCTAAAGCCAAGGCTTCTTCAAAACATGTCTCAAGAAAGTTCTGAAAATTATTCTTTTGCAAATTGTTAAAAGTTTTATGCCCACCTAAGGCTTTCTGGGTATTTTCACAATAGCTGAAAACACTTTTCTCAAGGGAACTGATCTAACCTTAACTTAACTTGGGTACCTTGCTGTGGTGCCGAAGACCCTGTTTATTTTTTGCCAAGTGCATGACCAACTTTTCAGAGCTGGTTTCGCCACTGCAGGTACAATATCTGATGTTCTATTATTAAATTTTAAATTGTACCTGTGTTTACCTGCTACGTTGCTACATTCTGAGCAAAACCGACTTTAAACAGCGTAGAGACCGTTACGATGATCTATGAATCCATTAACGGCCTGCACCTAGTTATCTCTCAAAATTATTTACAAACAATTCTTCAAGGGACATCATTAACTTACGAAATTCAAATACTGATTTATATGTTCCACAAATGAAGACAGTACAAATGTTAAGAAAGTTTTTCGTATCGTGGTTCTCACACGTGGATACCTTTGAAACGTGCACTGAAACAAGCGCCCTCTTTTTTCATTTTTCAGCGAGAAACAAGATCTTTAAAACGTTCTCTTGCTCTACTTTCTTTCTCTTTTCGTAACTTTGTCTGTGTATTGTGTTTAATTGCAAGCAGTTTTAAAAGTATTACATTTGCAAATGGCTCTCCTGAAAAGCATTCTGCTTAGATCGATGGGATTATCGTGAATCAAGAATTGGAAATGAAATGAATGTAATAGAATGACAAATTTTATATTGCTTTTTATCTACTGGTTTAAAAAAACTTTAATAAGACGTGATAAACGGCTGATTGATTTATAATTAAAGTAACTGAGCGTGTTGTACGTCGAATGAACAAAGCAAACAAATTAATATCATAAAATACGACTTTGCACTTGGGAGATGAATATTAGATGAATATCGTTGATAGTGTGCCTTGTGTATCATTAATTTTGTTGTATTAGCTTTTTCTCCGTTGTTGTTTATGTTTCTTTAATGATTTATTGATATGAAAATTAGTATAGAACGTCAGATCAGAATATAGCTTGAAAACTCCACTCTAGGAATTATATATACTTAGTTATGGATCAAAATAGGCCAATCAGAAACGGAAGCACACGGCTGTTGATGTTGCCCGCCAGCCTATTAAATATATTACTAATAGTGTCCTAAGTTGGAAACGAACTTCTTCTGTCCACACAATTAATGATTTTTCACAGCACAAACACTGCCCCCCTGCCTTACTCTTGTAAAGGTGTCCCTGTGTTCTCTAAGGGTGTTAAGTGATTCTAGAACTTCAAGTGCTAGGAGACGTATAATTCAAACAGGTAGTTTTATTGGATTGAATGAACAGTTTCTTATCAATTCAATTCAATTCGATTCAATTTTATTGACAAATATACCTAAATACATTACAATACAGAATAAAATTTATTAACATAACATTACAACATAGAACTTAAACATAGAACATTACAAAACATTATGTATTTAAATATATTTGTCTAAGGAGGAGCTCTCTAATAGATGAACTAATCGAGAGAGGGCCCCCCATCTAAAACTAAAAAAGTGAAATTTTTTCTTTAAATCAAAAGAGAAACCAAAAAGCCTCCGCAAAACATTGGAATAAACAAAATATCTGCAGTTAGATATTCTAATAACACAGTTTTTTGTTTATTTTCATCCTTTTCTTCATCTTATTTTCTTACAATTTGTTGGCAAATTTTGCTGCATAACATCAATGTGAGCGGAATACTAATTCAACTGACTTAGAATAGACCAGTCAACAACCACATTATAAATTATAATTAATGTCAAAATAAAATAAATACAGTGGAATTCCGTTATAACGAACTCTGGAGGGAACCAGAAAATAGTTCGTTATATTGGGGGTTCGCTAAACCGAGAGAAAACGTTTTCTAGGTCCTTTCGCAGTTCTTACTTAAAGAATCTGCAATTGGCTTGTTTAGGCTATCTCAAATCTCTGTGCCCATTTAACTCAAAAAAACCAAGCTAAGATCAAATAATACTACTGGTTGATTATTAAAAATTAAGATCTTAATGTTCCTCTTATTATTTGGGACCAAGACATTGGCAAAGCTGGTATCACTTAACTTCTAGTTGGCGGCTGAATGACGTATTCGATTACTTCACATTCTTTTAGCCTTCTTCTGCTTCTCCATCTGGGTCTGTCAATAAAATTTTGTCGTCGCTCATTGCCAATGTATCAAATATAAGAAAAGACATTCATAAGTGTCAATTTACTCATTCGCAGTAATTTCTGACGCAATCAAACTTTCATCCTGTGCTCTGAGCCTTATCAGCCAATGCTTGAAATGTATCATTACCATGTTTTACCTATGACAATAATGATTCCCCCCAAGAAAAAGTGATAAATGAACATCGAAAATAAATAAATAAAACAACAGACGAACAAATTATGAAAGTTCGTTATGTTGAGGGTAATTATGATGAAGGAACCCATGAATTGGTTCGTAATATTGAGAGTTCGTTATGTCCGGGGTTCGTTATACCGAAAGAATTGTTTAGGAGTTTGTTAGGCAGAAGCAAAGGGACCAGATAGTTCGTTATACCGGGAAATTCGTTGTATCCGGGGCTCGTTATATCGGGAATACACTGTAATAACAATTATTACAATTATTGTATGTTAACCATATATTTGGTAAGTTGATAGCAGGTTATAATGGAAGCTTCTTGCAAATTTTTCAACATGTGGCTCATATTTCAAATTATCATCAATTTTAGCACTAAGTTTGGTAACCTCATTTTTTATCAAAATTCCAAGCCATCTGGACATGATACTCTGTTTCTAGTTATTTGAGGTATTAGCAGTCATTTTGTTATATTTCGCCTGGAGATTTATCTTTCATTAGCCTTAACGTTTTGACGGTTAGGCCCTAGGGCTCGTCCTGCTCTTGGGCAAGACGAGGGAACCTTAGAGGGATTTGTGAATTTTCTTCAGTGGCACTTTGGGTGGGCGTAATGGAAATTCAGCATTGTTTACTAACAGGCTCAATCCCTTTTCTCTATGAACCATAAGTGTGTCAGAAGTTCTTCCTGAAATCTTGTTAGGTGCGTGTGCGTCTAGGGCCTTATAGAAAGACAATTCTGGATAATTTTGAGTGATTTGCTCTGTAAACCATAAACATAAAGTTTGTCTGGATCAAAAGGTTATGCCTGACAATAAAAAGCCTAAATAAAAAGGAACCTTTAAGAGCATAAATATTTGTGAAAATATATGTTCCAGAAACGGAAAAGGATGATAAATAATCTTGATAAAGACTGTTGATAAATTATCTTTGAGTAATTTTTGAAAAGACGGTAGGTGTCCTGATAGAGTTTAATTTCCCTGATAAAATTTATCTTAGTTCTTGTAAAAAAGTGTAAAGCGTAACTACAGATTTTTTTTAAAGATTTGGAAAGAAATACCTTGAATGTTCAACAGAGGTTGCAAAATTATGTCAACTGAGATCAGTGGCGTACCCAAGGGGGGGAATAGGGGGCTCCGGACCCCCCACTTTTCTAAAATATTGTCTTCGAGATTTGTCCAAAAACGATGTAAAACTCATTGGGGGGGGTGTAGTATACTGTATGCTTGTGTCAATAACAATTGTAAAATACTTTGCTATTTACCAAAGCTAAAATGAATCAAATGATGGGGGAAAATTTTGCAAAAAGGGCGTTTCCACGCATTTGCGAGTATTTGAAGGGCGTGGTTCAAAAAATTTCTGGGGGCTACGCCCCAGACCCCCCCCACTACTGCAGCCCTGGGTACGCCACTGACTGAGATTTTAAGTAGGTTTTTGCTTTGATCGATTATAGTTGCAATTTGATTTACTTTCATAATTTGTTTTTTGAAAAGAGTCTACCGCCGCGCTGATTCATATTACATTACCAATCTGAAAGAAATTTCTCATGTTCCAGGAATGTTTTGCACTACAAATTCAATCAAAATAAAATCAACTGTAGACATTCTTCCCTGTCATATTTTTATGGTCTATATTATTTTGTACATATACCTCGCAGACTACAGCGAAAACACTGATAGAAAACTCCTGAAATGTATATATTGTAAGGTTGACTAATTTTGTCAATGACCCCATGAATAACTGTTTTCTCGTTTTAATGTCAGAGAAAGTATTGATCATCAGAATGATGGCATCGGACAATGGTGATGCTTCAAGTGACTTCTTACCTAGAGATTATCAGATTGAAATCTTTGAAGAAGCTTGCCGGCAAAATGTAGTTGTTTGTCTTGGCACTGGCACTGGTAAGACATTCATCAGCGTGTTGCTGATCAAAGAGCTGGCTCATCAAATCAAAGGAAAACTTAGTGAAGGGGGCAAAAGGACGTTTTTCCTGGTCACCACAGGTATGTCTTGCAGTAATTCAACCTAAAATGATTGCTATAAGATGCGATAATGGAAAATATGGTTTTTGAAAGTTTGGAAATATGTTATGTCTGTAATAAAGTGACCATGCCATTACATGTGTCACGACATTTGTGTACGAGATTAAAATGTATTGCAGCATTCATCATGAGCAAATAGATACGTTCATCTCAAGGGGGAGATAACGGAAAATTTTGGGCTTACTACCCAAACCTTTCAATGTTAGATGTGACTCAAGTGTTTTGCCCAAAACTTTTGACCTGGAAACTTATAAAATAAAGAAAATAATTACTTTATCAGATGATCGGCTTTTGATCTTTGTACGAGCTCGCAACACGTAGTCGGTTTTACCACATTTTGGTCATGACTTTTCTTACTTGAAGCTAACCATTTGCTCTTTTTTCTTGAGTTTAGCCTTTCCTCCCTCTAACTTTTTGTCACATCATTCATTTTCTCTGTACTCTTTGCTTCTTTCCAACATCGATGGCAAACAAAACTTCCTAAGGTTTTCCTTACCTGAAATGTTTACTAATCACTACCGCGCCTAGCAGAAATCAAAAGGGACTTAGAAGCGGGTCATTGATGCAGTCCCGCATGGGAACTGAGCTTCTCGCTTCTTCCATACGATTTTCCATTGTCTGAGCATTTTCGGATGCTGCCTTAACTGATCTTATTGATGCTTTAAGAAGGATGTTTTCCCTTGAGCTCTAATACACTAGGTTTCTCCGTACCCAGCTGCTTGCCTTTTTAAGATCCGTGAATAATCTGAATATGTTTTTTATTTCCTCTCAGAATTTTTCCTGTTGTTTGTTTTTTACATTTGACAGTTTTCCTTGCAGTCCTTTGTTGCATCATGATATTGCAAAATCCCGTTTTGCTCTCTCCCAATATTATTATACAATTGTTGCATTGCATTGTCAATATTCTTAAAAGGCATCAGGAGGAGTCATTCAGAGGAGGTGTTTCTTGAGGCCACGTTTATCAAGCCCATTTTCTAACGAAAAGTAACTTTACCGTACTTCCATTATGTTATAATTGAAACAAATTGTTTATCTTATCTCCTTGAGTACAAAAATGTTTACTTAAGGGCACTTTAAAAACGGGGAGCACCTTTCAAGATGTTGATGAAATAGATGTTTTTAACCTTGAGGGCTCTTTTACATACTTCCCTAAGAGTGGGGGCACCATTCCTTGGTTCCTCTGACTACACCAAAACTGTCACAACAAAACGTAGAAGCAGGATGGTCACTTTTTGCAAATCTAATGGGGACTGTATCGCCAATATTTTACAGATTGATGGTAGTACCTAATGATTTTTTGTTGGTATTTGTTACTTGTTTTCAATTGGATCGAAATGTAAAATGTTTTACAGTCACATTAATCATCCTGTTACTCTACAGTTCCTTTAGTACATCAACAAAGCAAAGCAATTGAAGACAGGACATTCCTTAAGGTAGGTAAATATACAGGAGACATGGGTGTTGACTTCTGGGACAAGGAAGACTGGAAGAAGGAATTCAATGCGCACGATGTTCTGGTAATGACACATCAGATATTGCTTGATATGCTTCAACATAATTACTTGCTACCATCGAATATCAATCTGCTAGTACTGGATGAATGTCACCATACTAATAAAAACCACCCGTATGCGCAGATCATGAAACGAATCGAAGATTTTAGCATCAAACCCCGCGTTATGGGTTTAACAGCCTCTATCATAAATGAAAAGGTCAAGAATAAAGGCATCTCACTTCGACACCATCTAGAAGAAAGAATGAAGGAACTTGAGATAAACCTACGAGCAGTATGCTTTACGTGTGCAGATCAATCTTCTACATCGTCATATGCAACAAAGCCAAAGGAAAGTATAAAAGGATATCCTGACCTGGAATTTGATGACTCTCAGTTCTATCAGATATACACACAAATCTCAGATCTTCTTAAATTTAACGGAGGTTAGTACTGACTTGGATGTTTCTACTTCCTTTCCAAAGCTAGGCCTTTCTTTATCTTCCAATATTAGCTGAAAATGTCACATTACTTCTTTCACTCAACGTACATCTCAAAAAACTGGTCCCACAACTCATATTTCCTTGTAAACTTTGGAAACAATTACCTTGTTGTTTTAAGAGTCTTATAACTTCCTTGTATGTCTTCCTTCTTGATTTCTTCTTACTCTCTTCTTGTTAAGGCTTTCCTTATTAAAGCAACCTCTCCCTTGTTAAGGTTTGGTTTAGGCATAGCCAATGGTTTAGGCCTCTCTCTAGCACATCTGGCTGAAAAAGAAGTTGCTAAAACACTTTAAAATGCGCCCTCTCTCACCAATTAAAAAAATTGTTGGAAAGCTTGATGGCTGTTGGCCCTGAGATCACACCTATGCAACCGATATTCCTTTCACATTGATTTCACATGCAAAGAGTAATCTAATTTTAAGAATAATTTTTGACAATGCATCATGCCCTTAGCCTTTTAAAGAATTAATATCTTGTTTCATTATAAAGCCTTAATTAGAATTTTCTGATTGTATTTGGATGCAGACTAGTGTTAGCGCAAAGAAGGATTTGGAGGTGTCCCTTAGTTTTATCAGAACATCCTCTCCCTTATCTTACTAAAACTTTTAAAAGAAATTTATTGGATAAAGATATGTTATATTTCTTACTTAAGATAAAAAGCCTATTTTGGGAGACTGCGGCACTGAAACCATGCTAAATGGGGTATGCCTGTGATATGAAATAGCGTGGTCTTTCAGCGGCCTCGCCCATCATCCCTCCATAGTTTGTGGTAGCCTACACCGCCACTTTCGTGCCCTTAATCAACCAATCTGTGCTACCAGATCTTCCTGTATCTTTTTAACAATGGCAATCATTGACAAACAGGTAGTAAATAGTTAGCCTCCAAATTCATATTTGTGAGAAAAATGCCATATAAAAGAGTTTCTAATTCAACTTTCATATATAATAATATGTTTATATATTACAATATGCTGGTTGTGAAACTGTCTAATACCTGCTAAATATTGTAATCGTAAATTTGAGACCAATTTTGGAATTTCTGATTCAGTGGTCTTCCGCTCAATAAAACGAGTCACTAAGTTTCTCCTTTTTAAATGCCGAGGAAAGATCGTGGAATTAACACACTTTTCCTGCATTGCAGAAATGCCAAATAGCAAAGAGGAAAAGGAGGCTTACAAAAAATGTGTAAATGCCCTTAGAGATCTACAAGAAATTTTAGACTTCCTTGGAGGATGGTGCACTTACAAAGCTGCAATTGTTATCAAAGAAAATATTGGTATGTTTTACAACCTGTATAACGAGTTGGAGATAGATAGATGGAAAACAGAAACCTCAAGACCACTTGTAAAATACTTAGTCCCAAGAAAACAAGAGCTTTTAAGTGCTATCTTTCTAATTCACAATTCTTTGGCTTTGTTAAAAAAATCTTGCATCGTTTCTGAAGTAGATCAACATTTGATTGAGGTATTTTGGATCACTTTAACATTTTGCAAGTTTGAAGATTGATTCTCTTTTTTCAGAAAAGGAGAAAGATAGCTTTCATCGTATTGGGTCGGAGTGGCTCGATTATGTGGTTCAAATAGCAGAGGACATTATTCATTTGTTTGAGCACTATGCAGTGTCTCAATTTGGGGGCATTGAAAGTATTTTGCTCATGATGCCCTTAATCACCCCAAAAGTTATGACACTGATGGACTTGCTGGTTGATAATAAGAAAGGTAGGGAGCCTTATAGTTCTGTACTTTCAGATTTCGTGTTTAGAACAGTCTCCATGTACTCTTAATGTAAAATACTGCTATGTGCGACTCTCCTAAATCCACTGTCGTCAAGTTAAAATTGTTAGTCTTAAATGTGTTCCTTAAAATTCTTTGAAGAACAATATTTCTTAGATCTTCCTTTCTACAAAAAAGCCGAAAGTATGGGGCCGTGGATGCGAGCAATAATGCATTATTAGCAGAATTGATTCAAAACTCGTAGAATTGATTTAGCATGCCCCACTACACAAAAAACTCAATGCTCGATACTTTTTCTGCTTTTTAGTACTTGCCCTAGATCATTTTGAATCCTTGATGTCTACGAGCATGTTGATAAGATAACACTTCGCTTTTTGCTAGTGATTTTAGGAACCCCTTTGCGCAAGAGCTTGTTTGCATCACCCATTCATTCGTTTCCTTTTCTGTCAAAACTAGAATGTCAACCCTGAACCTCCCCACGTTTTACTAACTGGTCCAAAGGTCATGGTCCAAAGGCTTGTCTAATGCACGTTTGCCGCCCATAAAAATTTCACGATCAAGAAAATTGCCTCCTTGCCTGAGTGAAAATGATAATTGAAATAAAAAGCTTATTAGTTTCGGTTCTCGTGTAATTCTTTTAAGTTTGTTTCAAAATGCTTGTACATGCTGTTTCAGATATGTGGCTACCATGGGTATCAGAGCCTTAAACTTTGGAGGGAAATAGAGATGAGAGAATACATGAAATGATGAGAGGCTTTGCCGGTTTTGGCAGGCTCTATCCTCTCTCGATCTCCTTTTTCTCCCTCCCCTTTCTCTTTAAATTCTCACCCCCTTAATTCTTTCCCCTTCCACGGCTCTGTTACCTGGTGTAGTTTGAGGCCTTAGTGATTTGAGTTCCTAGAGGTCTTAATACCGAATCAGTGCCGTCGATAGAATAGATATTGTTCCCAATGGGGTTTCCATGTCTCATTTGCCAAAAAAATTGGAAGAGCTATCCTTAATTTGCCAACAGGGTTGAAAATTTCTTGGTGAAGCAACCCTATATGGTCAAAATCCTCCTTGATCAAAAAGAGAGTGTGCCTATCGTTATGGCCTTGTACAGAATAAGCAGTAAATGAAAAAACGCTAGCACGATTGAACCTGTGCATTGTGGTTTTTTCAGATCTCTGTGCGATTGTGTTTGTGAAAAAGCGAATCACTGCTCACGTTTTGAGTGATCTCATCAACAACTTAGTGACGTGCTATGAGCATTATGAAGGCATCGTCAGTGATTTTGTATACGGACATAATTTGGTGGGTATCTTCACCCAAAAGGAGTTGTGCTCAATGACGTCAAAGAACCAAGAGAAAATCCTGCGGAGATTTCGAAGCATGGAATTCAATGTGCTTGTTGCGACGAGTGTTGTGGAGGAGGGGCTCGATGTTCGCAAGTGTAACCTCGTCGTGAGATTCGATGGTCTACAGAATTATAGGGAATACGTACAATCAAAGGGAAGAGCACGGGCAAAAAATTCTAAATTTGTCATATTATCAAGACAAGAGGAGATTGAATCAACAGAATATCAGCTTGAGGTATCTATTATTCAATGCCTTGATGAGCATGTTTTCTGCATTAAGTGGCGTAAACAGTACATATTCACGTTACATTAAAAGCTCACATATATTTTGACTGTAAAACTGGTGCCTTGTTCACCGTGTTATCAAGCCTCTGTTCTTATTAAAAAAGAGACAGTAGTCTATTATTCTAAACGAATAGTTCTCACTTAGGCTGCAGGGGCAATCGCCGCCAGGCTTGTAAGTCAAAGAAGGCATCAGCTTGCATTAGTGGGTTAGGATTACAATGGGAAAATCTTTTTATGATTGCGATGTTTTTAATAAGCATGCAGGTCAACTACTCAATTTTCTACTAGATTACTGAATATCGTCTACTTATTCGTTCAAGGGAGGAGGTGGGGGGCTGGGGGCTACAGCCTATTCACATTTTTGCTAAGGTATGATATTCAAGTTGTAGAAAACTACCATAAAAGTTTGCCAATGCGTCTAGAGCACTCTCCTTCCAAATAAAAATGTGATCTGGTTTCCTAAGTTCGTTTTCAGTAGGTTTCCTCATTTGCTTTGTAGCTAAATGAGCAGTTACTAAGCAAAAACTTATCTACTGTGACGTATTAACTGAATTAGACGTTCATTTATTTTCTGAATTGAAGAGAATGCGAGAGGTTGAACAAATTTTAATCGAAAAAAGCAGAGGTCGTGAATTACCAACCGAAGAAGAAATTGCAGAATACAGAGTTGCAGAGCAGCTCATCGAGCCCTTTAGGATTTCTGACGAGGAAGGGGCGGCAGAAATAAATCGAAACAATGCGATGCAGCTACTGCACATGTAAGTTTGCTATTCCTTATACCTCCGTATTAGCTTATCCGGGTACGCCGGAACGACCAAGCAGCAAAGGGGTAGGCGCCAGTAAAAACGAATTTGAAACATAAGTCCCAGCTTCTACTAATTCTTTTGCAACTGTCATTTTGTTTCAACCATCTGCAGGCATCTTGAAATAATCTAAGTTCTGGCATAAGATGTTTTCTACACGTTTTGAGAAATTTCAGCAAGAATAAGACATTAAAGGCACTAACGTCAAAATTTCGTAGGAATCTTTTTGATAATTACAAGCTGGTGATGTCTTGGGTATTTTTATGAAAAGGGCACATTGGGCCTCTTGCTATTTTATAATACAGGGAAGAATATGGAGGACTAAATAGAGAACTTAAGCATTATTGAAAAGCAAATAAATGATTGGTGTTAAAAAACCATCTA